CTTCCCAAAGAATAAAGATGGGGAATAAGTAATACAAAGACTTTTTCGCTGATGTGAAAGATCCATGGCGCCACCACCTTTTCAAGAGACCCAACAAAGTACTATGCCCCCGAACTTCTACACTCATAACAATTTTAAACACAATATGACATTAAGTCAATAAATGTAAACCTATAAACTAAAGAAAAATAATAAACTTATCATACCGCCCTGTCTTGGATGTCTTTGAATCTGTCCCATGACAATCGCGGAACTGCATTATGGGTAAGAACTCTGTTGCGATAAAAAATTTATACTTGAACAATCTCTGATTGTAAAACAGAGAAATACAGAGCATAGTATGTAAGCAAACTATGTTGCGTAAAAAAATATATCCATGACTTTCTAACAAAACAATTGTTGTTTGTGTCATGTTTAGTCAGTATGACAACGTATAGTGTCCTTTCTTACTGACAACTTGAATCTCTTGTATTTCATTATTGACCTGAGGCGAAGGGCTAACCAAAGGAATTGCCTAACAACAAAAGTTTTAGTACAGATATGTGCTTAAATTCATAACAGTGTTCAGAGGAATAGGAAAACATGAAAATAAAACTTTATCTAACCCAAAACAAAACCTTCATTGAGAATAACAAAAGAGTGTTTAGCCATGACGACCTGTAAACAAAGAAACTTTTATATCTCTTTGTTATATTGAAAGTTTTGACAGTCCTGTGTCAAAAGTATAATAGATAAAGATCGGTATATAAATATAAATATAAATATATATATATATGTTATATGTGTTAAATTAATTGATTCTGGAATTGAATACTTCTACCTGTCTACAAAAATAGTCCACATTGAGTTTTGGATTTTGCATTGTTTTCAGCAGAAATTTGAAAACTCAATGAGGACAATTCTTTTGGGACAGAGGTATTAATAAATAAATTCCTGATTTTCACTTGCTTCCATTATATTTTATAAAAAAAATAAATTCCCGATTTGTAGGACACTACAACTCTTGTTACTTGATCCTTTTAAATCCCAGAATCATTAAATGTTATTTACATAATAACATGTATAAGTCTTAGTTTACAATATTGTTTGAGTTAATCTTTTGATACTATTAATATAGAAAGTGTCCAGGTTCAACATTATAAACAATCTAATCTTCTAAATTCAGTTCAATTGTTTATCATCTTTCAATGTTTATCCCCATAGGTATTACTTTATACTATTTAATGAATAATAAATAAAATGTATGAATTCCTATTCAAACTTTCAAATTAGTACATACTGGTTACGCTTTAAAAATAATGATTTTTATTATGGGAATTCCAGTGCAGGAGACCGCAGTATAACTTGTGTTTATCATTTTCTTGCCTGTAAAAAAAATTAAATTTACACTAATATAAATTAATTTACACTAAATTAGTTACTTTATCAGGTCATAGAATACATATCTTTGTCAAAAAAAGAAAAAGTACACGGTACCATTCGCAAAAATAAAAAGTATGGTTACAAAAGTAGCTAACTAATTGATCCGGCACCTCTTTTGTTCAAAAAAAAAATTGATATTTTTCGTTTTCAACGTAAACTATGTTTGTAAGAATAAATATACAAATCTATTGACAACATGCAAAAGGAACTAACACCAGCATCAAACTTTGGAACCGTAACATAGATGACATTCCCATTATTCAACAAACCTTGTATGCAAATTGTGTACTACGGACAGTGAGTGGGTTTGAGCGAGAATTAATTTCTCGAATGGAATGTTCTTTTGGACGATTGGATTTTTTATATGTATTTTGCATAAACTTGCTGGATTGGAAATTTTAAGGTCTCCTTGTCTGGAATAAATAAAGTAGTACTTCATAGAAGAAGTTTGATTTTTAATAGATGTTCACAAGTAATTATTTGATTCCATTTAAAATTTGATGTGAGAGGTACCTAAATTGCGTTAATATTTTTTGACGGTTCAACACATCTGCTTTTTTTTATTTTTTTGTGAAATCCCAGATAAATTAAATTCCTGTACTGGCTTTTACTCCATTGCTAATAATGTACACAGTGTTTATAAGGTAAGTTATTTAAATTTATTTCTAAATGTTTTTGAAATGGTTTGTGAGTTATTCTTTTCTGAATCGTTGCAAAATTCTCATCTCAAGGGATTATGATTAACTACTTATTTTCCTCAATTTTAAACTGTTCAGATAATTAGTTTACATAAGTTTTTTAGTATAATCTTTCATTGTATCTATGTAATTTCTTCATCAACTGCCTTTATGGCAGCATATCAACCGTAATCGATTCTTTTTTTCTGGAAAAATTGGCCGATCTACCCTAACTTTTACATGCGTTGTCAATTCTACCTTATTCTTTTTCGATTAGCCAATATTACCCTAAACTATTCAACCGTTAGCCGATTTTGTCCAATTTGCCAATTTTCGTTTAAATTAACGGATTTTCTTTTAGATTTAATTATAAAAATATCCTAATAGTTTTAAAAATTATAAAAATGACTCTAAAAATTTATAAAAATAACAAAATAGTCTCTTTTTACTTTTTATTTAATTTTTTTCTGTTTTCTATTTTTTTTACTATTTTTCATAATTATAAAAATATACTATATGATCTTTTAGAATAAAAATTTATTTTTAAACAATATTGCACAAATTTATTGATATACATATTTGTAATTCATGGTTGATTTACATAAATATATTAATTCTTTTAATACCATGGCTAGAAAATTATGATATTAGTTTTCTAATCCATTTTTTTCAATTTAAAGAATAATTTTTTTTTACTAAAACTAATTTTTTTACAAAAAATTAAAAAATTTAGCATAGATTAAAAAATAATCGGCCAAATTTTCTGTTTCATGAGAGTAGATATAAGATTAAGTCTTACCAAAGGATTTCTAACCGGGAGAGTGATTTTATCCATATTTAAGCGGGGTCCGCTAAAGGCGAGAGGGTTAGAAGGTCATCTGATTTAGGATCTGAGATAAAATTACTGTGTTCGATGTCTCGATTCTCACTGGGGCAATCTAATTTTTCTTTTTTTTTTAAAAAAAAGGTGGAGTCCAGTACTGAAATAGATTTTCTTTATATTATTTTTTCTAAAAAAAAAGACTTTCTGCTAAAGTTAGATATATTAATATCTCAAAAAATTATCGCAAAATGTTAAACACTCGCAATGATAAATATAAATGTTTTCTTATAAAATATTTTGTACCATTTTTGTAAATGCCATGACACTATATTCTTGTGTTGGGCCAATGTAGAAATGAAATAGGTGTTTTTTTTTTTATACTTCTTTTTCGTACTTAGCCTTTTACAGAAAAATTTATATTTTAGTTTTAATTATTTTTTAAATTTTATGATACAATCTAAAGTTTGTTGAATTAAATGTAATACATTAAAGTAAACCAATAACTTCTTTTTTAATCTATGCTAAATGCGTTATTTTTTTTTGTGCGAAATTAGTTTTAGTTAAATAATCTTATTCTTTAGATTGAAAAAAAAGGATTAAAAAAATAATATCATTACCGTTAAATCATATTATTAAAAAAATAATATGTTTAGGTAAATTAAACATGACTTACAAATATCAAATTATAAATTTGTACATTAGAGTTTAAAAATAAATAGTTTTTTTAAAAGATCATATAGTATATTTTTATAGTTATAAAAATATTAAAAAGAAATAAAAACAAAAAATATTAAACAAAAGCTTAGAAGAGACTGTTTTATAATTTTTGTAAATTTTTGGGGTTATTTTTATAATTTTTAAAATTATTAGGATATTTTTATAATTAAAAAAATAGAATTCCGTTAAATTAAACGGAAAAGAGCAAATTGGACAAAATCGGCTAATGGTTAGATAGTTTAGGGTAATAATTACTAATCAAAAAGAATGGGATAGAATTGATAATGCATGTAAAGTTTAGGGTAGATTGGCCAATTTTTCTCTTTTTTTCTAGTATATGCCACTTTTAGCAGAAAGATAACCATCATTTAATAAAGTTACATTGACAAGCGCATATGATGGCTTGTCAATGTAATAAATAATTTTTCCATTATACTTCAAATCACAAGTCATTATATAATGTTTTCTGCCCGGTTGAATTTTCTGCATCATTACTAAGGATTCTTTGTTTTAACGGAAGTGATCATTGTTGTTGTAAGGTCATTTCGAATCATTATCTTGGATGGTGTTTGGTGAAAGTCTTTTGGCAATGCAAATTATCTATTCTGCGACCGCTTTATATCAATATTTTTGGTAAAGTTAATGTCCACAATCAAAGTCCGATGTAGTTCACCAAATATTGTCGTTGTTTTCTATATCTATCTTCGATGTATATATCTATATGCTAATATAATGATCAAAGAAAATATCCTTTTGCTTTGTCCAAATCGGCTCAATATTTAATCTTACACTCCCCAGTTTACTGTGATAGATTTAATAATCAGCACACATACCAAAAAGAATAAAAACTCAAACATTAGTAATATGAGGACTTTAAAAAATGAAACTGAAAAACGTAAAACAAAGATTGACAGCAAGCTTTAATTATTTATTGGGTGAAATACATTGAAATTGATATAAAACAGGCGTAAACGCCAAAAGCAGAGAACGAAAAATGAAAAGACAAAAAATAATATTGAAATTAGATTCAGCGACTAACAATACAACAATTCTACGGATCATGACAACTCTCAATATACTGAACTTGTGCTTCTAAGATATCGATCCGGGTATCCACGGTATCACGATGCTTCGCCACGTCATAAGGCACTACTTACTATATTTATAAATTATAATGATGTCAATATTATGATATCATTAATTAATAGAATGATATAATTAAAACAAATAGACATACAAAAAATATATATGTCACACTGTATCAAGGATGAAGTTCGAAGCATCTGTTGCCACTTAATAATAGGATTACATAACTTCGTTCGAAAACAACCATGAGATGTAATCATAGAAATACATAAAATTCATACAGGAGACAAACTATGACAATGAAATCTGATTGCTAATTCATATTTTCCTAACAAATCATGAGGTTTCGTATGCAGCACATACGAATTTGAATCTGGCTTGTAGTTGTAGTATTGATTCTGAAGAGGTCCAGCCAATATGAACTTACCATCATCAGAAGAATAACAATTCAAAATGAGACGGCGGAGATAAAATGTGTCATGGCGACGTGGATATGGCCGATGTGACCTCACGACATTGAACTCAACACGAACACTATATATCTTATTCCATTCATATTTAACATCCAAATCGCTCTCTGCATCACGTATTCCTAACTTCCACATGACAAATAAGCCTGATCTTTCAATGTCGTCCTCATCACTTAAACAAAGGCTTCCTTTGTAATTCAACAGCACTGGATTTATAGTTCCACATAGAGGATACATGGCCCAAAATTCATCACTTGGGTAGTTTATTATCTTGAACAACTGTTCCACAACATTGAATGACATTATCAATTCTCTTCAAGGTTGTCCTACGATTTCCCACCAATGTAATTTTCTAACCTGGCAAAACATATAATTACCACAACATACGCCCTTATTCCAACACCTTTTTGGACAGGCAGCAATTGAATCAGTCCAAAGACTTAGTCGAGGTGTTTGTCCAGCCTCCCACGAAAAAATTTCACATGACGTTTCGCCTGTTCTGGAAATCATTAAAATCACTAATGTATACTGACACATACCAGCATTGTAACCGAATGTTGCAAACCAACAACAACCAAATAGTGTTTCATCAAAAGGGGCAGGGAGCATCCCAAAAAGCCCTGTTGTTGGGTTTAATATCCCTGTCTCTCTATCAAGTATAAAACACATCAGGTCACATGTATATGGCAAAATATTCTGAACACGAATCGAATGAACGTACACGCCTAATGAAGGACATAGTTGTAAATCGATAGGTATATCGGAATTGAAATAGAGAATAGAAATAGAGTCCGGTTCATTAGCTGTTGCCGTGATTGGCCGATGGACAAGCACAATGTCAGAGGCGCGTTTGTAAATCTCGTTGCGAACACGGATAGAAGTTACAAACTCCTCCGATATCATCAATCTCCTCCATGCTCTGTGGACGCAACGACATTTACCCATAGTTCTGACATCTAGTCGTTTCAAAATGTCATTGACCAAATCATGAGGCAACCTGTCAAAATTAGAAAATTCATGACAACATGATTGAAGAGATCATAAAAGTGATGAAGTCATGCTTCGATGAGATATCTAACTCATAAATCACAGGGAAATTTACAAATTTGGCAAAAGATGTAAAAAGAGAAGTGATGGAAACGAATAAAATACCAGATAGTATACACTCATATTTATAGAGACATCAATACATCGTTATTTACACTACATTGGGTACTAAAAAATCGGAGCTATTATAAAATCACGAAGGAACACGATTTTATGTGTTTTCAAATAGGTCATTGGTTTCTGCAACAAATTACGTACACAGTAACACATAAAAGGGGAAGGAATCAGAATCCATCAAAATCTGCCTTTAGCTAAAGAGTACCACACTTTTGGTAAATAAAATGTCATTCCCATAAAAATACTATTTTCATATGTGTTTCACTGAAAATAATAAGCCATAACTTTAACTAAGATTGTCATTTCTCTTTGAGTAGAACCGCATGCGATATCTCAATCTATTCAATTTCCACATTCCAATAGCATGCGAAAATTTAATAAGGAAACATTCCATCAGAATCTTATAGTTCAAAGATAAAGAAAAACATACATTTATAATTCCAAAGCAACGTATTAAGCATTTTTTGAGAGCATATAAGACAAATACACATTTATCTAGTGTTTCATCATTGATTTGGCGTTGATATGGTGCAACTTTCACATTTATCTAGTGTTTCATCATTGATTTGGCGTTGATTTGGTGCCACTTTGTGTCACGAATGAATAAAATTGTATATCCATGCTACAACCCTCTGAAATCGTGGAAAGTTTTCAATAATATAGCTTGTACCTAATAGATTAACTTATTTAATAATGCATGAGATAGATGTTTAATATTTGGTAATATTGCGTTTTATTTTGCGTAGCATCAGTAATGTCCACTCAGATTTCATTTATCTTAAACTGGATTAGTAATTGTTATAATCACAACACCAAAAGCACACCTACAAGCATGTCAACATAGTGAATAAATCCAAAGCACCATGACAATCCGTTTAATTTAAGTGTACTTTCAATAAAGCTAATAATCAATTGATTGTTTATGGGTTCCATGAGTTGATCGTTTACATTGCGGTTGGACGATTTGTGTTTTGTGAAACATTGTTGAGATCCCTTCATCTAGTGGATACATGAAATGAACTGAATCGTAAAATTATTACATCAAAGAATCAGCGAAGACAACAGGAAGACAACAAAAGAATTATTCTGACGGAATTCTGGAAGGAAAAACGACAAAAGGTTAGGGAACAACAAACAGTCGTTATAGTATGGAAAGTCTCCAATAAGAATTACATACACTTGCTAGTGGATGTAACTAATATTAACCTAATCGTATTCAAAAGGAACTATAACTTTCCCAGAAAAATCCAGTTCCTGCTAAACAAGAACCACATACCGTGAGTGACTTTACATCTTCTACATCAGGTCTGTAGACATAGTAATGCATACTATCAGGACCCCCCAGAATGAATTCTCCGAGCACCAAGGACTTGGGATTTAAGATGAGGTCACAAAAACGTCGGTAAGGTTGTTCAAAATGATGCGTAGATGGACCATACAACATCGAAACAGGAAACGCTAAACTTACTTCATAGATTTTTGTCCAACACCGATCATTACTGTTGTTACCATCAAATGCCCATAAGTGAAACTTTCGAGTAGCGAAAATCAATTTCTCATGTGTTACAAAGAGTGTACCTCAATAATTCAAAATCTTAACATTATAGCTGCATTAGAAATCACATATCTTCCATAAAGCACAATCCGGAGCTTTAATAATGTTAAATGATTCAGACTCAATGTCAAAGCTAACAATAAGCTCTTGTATGAGTTGATTATTTTGCACATTCTCAAACTTTGTATCTATTGGCCAGTATACATTTTTTCCAACAAATAATCCATCTGGGATAAAATTTCGTGGACACACATCCTGAATAGGTGTTCATGTCGAAATACTGTCACCGTTGTTACCAAGAGATCCCTGACCAGACATTCCCTAACAAATACGGCTGGCAATCATATTTGCCATGACTAGATTCCTGCAAGCACATAATGTAGTATATTTCCAATTCCTATATGTATTCGAACGCAATCATCCACATTGGTGGGCGTGCCGAAGGCCAATAGGGGACGCCAATATCACAAAATTCGTTTGTTACAAGATTCAACAAAGTTAATTTATCAGACAACTTCAAACATATCACATCACAAATAATAGGAAGAACACGAAAAACACAATTTCGCTGACGCGATAACTTCAATTTATTGTCTAGCACCTTGACATCATGATCGTGAAGATTGAGTTCAGTAAAATGTCAGAGGCTTACCTATGATGCATCACAACTTGATGCTCATCGAGTAAAGTCCTCCAGGATTGTCTGACGCGACGAGCTTGTCCAACAGTTTTGCAATCAAAACGTAGCATGATATCAATGAAAAGCTCGATCGAAAGTTTCTCAAAGTGCTCGATGGGGCCAGAGCAATGTTTGGTATTCTGATGCGGATACAACATCGTGAAAATCAGTGTGGGTGAATATTTATGTCTAGGGAGAAGATACTAAATGTAGTTTTGTCACCTACACAAACTTGGTTAATTGTTGATTCAGTGGATAGTGAATATGACAAAGTACGGTTATACTTGAATTGAACTGATATATAGCCACAAAATAAGCAAACGGCCTATAGGCTTTCTTGGACACACTTTTATGAATAAGTTGTTTTAATAATAGAGAGTATCACTCGTAGTAGATATTTCATGCATCTCAAAACAATAATGCCTCATTCAACCAAAAAAAACACGCATAGCTTAAACAGTCAAATCAAACAATTTGTGTCACCCAATAATTTTACATAATAGTTATGATTATGTGCCTTCATCATCCACCAATTACTGGAAACCTAACACCTACAACAGACTAAAAATTTGAGGTACAACCAAATTCACTAAACCAAAGGAGTAGTATTGCTTGAATTTTGAAAACATTATAAACTTGATATCTTCATTTTCCCTGTCATTGATTTTTGTGATGGTGATTTATGGTACATAAACATTGAAATTATAAAAAAAATGATGCATATAGACACATAATTTCATTAAAACAGTTTGACAATATTCTCTGTGACATAGTATATGTATAATATAATTCAAATGTACATTTGGTGAACGAAAATGCAAGCTAACTGAAAATGCATACTAACAAGAAGATGTAACTGTAATGGAAATGTAAACATGCATACTAACAAAGTGATTAAAAACCGACAACATTCACATACCTACTACCCCTAGAACCGCCTTTCCTAGTTGATGTGTAGTTTCCCGAGAGAACATGAATATCTCGTAAATGAATAAGTCATTCACAATTATTATTCATACTAAGTTTGCTACGGTTTTGCAGATAATCAATCATTACATTTTTTCGTGTTTGACCATTTCCTTGATATGAACTATATTATAATGGAACTAATAGACCAAAAAAAAAATTTACAATGAAAAAATACATTAATAATTCATGTTCATCAACACCATCTTTGGATATTAACTAACTATTTCATTGAAATAATATGATACAATGACAACAGATTTGTTAGACAACATGATTAACGACTATATAGGAATCAAACTCTTAGTAAAAAAAACTATTGCTGGTATAGAACAAACCCATTCGGGAAATGCCTTGTTCGTAATGAGCCACCGTTTTGACTTGGTTTGTACAAATAATAATGAATTTGGTCCGGCCCGGATAGAATGAATTCGCCTCCAGGCGACGACTTTGGATTTAAAATGAAGTTCCAATGTCTATGCCATGGATGATCAAAATGTTGAGGAAATGTACTATATCTGATTGTAACAGGAAACTGTAAACTAACCTCGTACAATTTTGACCAAATGTCGCCACCATGCTCACAAAGCTTAAATGCCCACAAATGGAACTTTCGAGAAACAAAAACTAAGTTTTCATCGGTGAGACAAAGTGTACCCTGAAGATTCAAGATTTTCATATTTATCTTGGGCGATTCATCACAGTTATTCCAATGTGGATCATCAGGAGATGAAATAAATTCAAATGTTTCACTATCCGTATTAAATGAAACCAAAAGGTCGCTTCGAGAATGTTCTAGTTTCGCATATTTGCCAAATGCACAAATTGGCCAGTACACCAGTTTTCCAACAAAGAATCCTTCTGGAATGACATTTCGTGGGCACACTACATCAAGACGTCTCCAGCCACAATTGCCAAGTGAATAATCCTCAGCATAACTTCGACCTGCTTGCCAAGAAAGTGTCATGGCTACCATATCGCCTTCTCCCCATTCCTGTAAACATATCATGTAGTACCTCTGAACTTTAGATATGTAGTCGAAAACAATGCTCCATACACCTCTGTACTTCGACCTTGCAAATGGCGCGATTATTTCACGTACCTGCCTTGTAATAGGATTTAATAACTTAATCCGGTTATTGAGTTTGAAGCATATGATGTCACATGTGAATGAAAGAACACGAAGAACGAAATTTTGGTAAACTGAGAGCTTAACTTTGTTGCATATTGCCTTCCACACATCCTCATTAATAGAGACATCCCTGAATTTAATGAATTTAGGTACCCTGATATTCATACCCATTTTCAGAGAAAGAAGTAACAAGGATTCATTAGACGCCTTTAGAGACGACCGTCTATGTTGTAGAAGAAATTCTAAATCATTCAGACATGCATTCTAGCCTTTACTAACACATCGAGATACACTAACTATTTCGCAATCCAATCTTGTCATGATATCCAAATGGAGCTCGATTGGCAGTTTGTCAAAGTGATCCAAATAAGCTTGGATGTTCCCTCTTAGATTGACGTGAAACATTATACATATGAGGAGACAGAAAATGCAATTTGGAGGATGGAATTTCCAGAGAGGTAATTAGACAGTAATATACTGATGAATGTATGAGAGGGTTGGATAGTTAACTGTGCTGAGGTTGGACTAAAATATATGAAGGAAAAAAAATGAGATAATGATACGGCAAATACAACTATGAGATGGCACGTGATTTGCATATTCCAATAACATGCCAAGTTTAATTAGGACAAATTCCATCGGATACCATTGCTTTAAAGATCAAGGAAAAATATATATTTATAATTCCAAAGGAACTTATTGGGCATTTTTTGAAGCATGAAACAAAAAATACACATATTTATTGTAATATATGATTGAAGATTTTAACTTGGTATGGTACAACTTTGTCACGAATGAATGAAAATATTTATGCATGCTTACACTCCACCCCCAAAAAAAAAAATCACCACAAGTATGTTTACAATTGTATGCCTTATACCTAATATATTCACTTATTTAAGGATTCAGAGAATAGGTCTTTAACATTTTGTAGACAACGACGCATAAATCCATTATTTTAGAGCTTTAATAAAAACATACATATAAACTTCCCAACAAAACTAAGCATGCTTCAATCTATTGACACAATTTTTATAGTAGTCCATTTATTGTAGTATATCCATAAGGTCCACCTTCATAATCATCCAATGGACCAATATAAGCACGCTACTCATTGAAACCATCATTGTGCATGCTATATAAATTGCATGCCTCGAGTACTTTTCAGTGCTGTATTTTTATCCCTCTTTTGATGCATAGGGTATCGAGAATATCCATGATATAACTTACGAAGCTATGTGTCCGGTAATTAGTAGAGTGCGAGAAAGACTTTGTTTTTCCGCCAAAATATTTAGTAAAATCTTGGCGCTCCTTTGTTCTTCTAATTTAAAGTAATAAATAATAATTGGATACCTAAACCTAACATCACATAAGACATATGAGGGGATATATAAGGTTATTGAATTTACTGAGTTGAAATCTTACAATTATTTGATGACAATATAGTTCTGAAATGATTCAAATTAACATTAAACTCATGAAAAAAGTACAGATGTTACAATTTCAACCGAGTTTATAAATGAAAGAAAATAACACAAAACTTATACGAGAGATAAACTATTACAATGAAAACCAATGGACAACTCAGGAATTCCAATCAAATTCTGCGATTTCCTATGTAATACATAACTATTATCTTCTGGCTTGTAAATATAGTATTGACTTTCGTCTGCTCCACTCAATATAAATTCGCCATTATCAGGAGAATAGCTATTCAAGAACAAATGTCGTACGTAAATATTCTCGTGGCAGTAGGGAAATGGATAATATGACATTAGTACAGGGAACTCAACTCGTACACGATATATCTGATTCCATTCGTATGTAACATCACGATCACAACCTTGATCATGAATTTTCAACTTCCACATAACAAATATGCTTGATCTTTCAGTGTATGCTTCATCGTTATACAAAGGCTTCCTTTGTAATTCAATAGGACAACATCAATCGTGCCACATACGGGAAACATATCCTAGAAATGATCACTTGGACAGTAAATTATCTGAAACACTTGTCGTAAAACATTGAAGGACATGATCAATTCCCTCCCAGGCATTCCCACAGTTTCCCATATACGTGTCTTTCTGATCTTCCAAAACATAAAGTTCCCTGCGTAAATGCTTCCACTACAGCATCTTCGTGGGCAATCTGGTATGGAATCATTCCAAACACTTGCCACGACAGGCTAGCCAACAAGCCAGGATAACAATTTACATGACATTGTTTGCCCCCCCGAATGCCGCAAAATGAATATAGGATATGGAGATATACTGTAATTATATCCAAACGTTACATGACAACAGCCCGGAAGCATAGGTTCATCATAAAGAAAATGCAGGGCCCGTAGATGACCTATAGTTGGATTTAATATCCATATCACATTGTCTACTACAAAACACACATGCATGTGCCAAAACCTTGTAGAAACTATTTGGAAGAGTATACATTTGTAAGAAATCACATAGTTTAATGTTGGATAGATTATTAGAGTTGAAGTAGTGAAACGGCATACATACAGCTTCACCCTCTAATGAACTGATACCTAGGTGAACAAACAAAAGATGAGAGGAACGTTTATGAATCTCATTGTCAATACGATTCCTACATACAAACTCGTTCGACATCATCAGGTCGACCCATTCTTTGCTCACAGAACGACCTCTTCCAACACTTGGCACATCAAGTCGTACCAAAATGTTGTATTTTAAATCAAAAGGCAACCTGTGAAATGTAAATTGATCATTACTTTCTAAGTCAACTGATTGAAAATGCAATGACACCATTTATTTTAAAGAAGAGTAAAAATGGACGCAATGTATGGATGGCTGAAGTCCATGCTGTTTTTATAGGCGGGTACATGGCAGAGCATATGTTAGGCTTTCTAAATTATTATGCAAACAATATTTAAAAATGGTACCTTCAATAGATTTAATCATGGCCACATAGGTTACTCTAGCGAATCGTTGCCTCGTGCATATTTGCAGCAACTATTGGTCGCAGCAAGGGCGGTGGTACAAATTTCAGTATGCCATACAAAATGTGGAACGTCGGGCTCCAAAATTAAATTTCCTTTTCTTTTTTTTTTTTTTGTGTCTCGCAATTTGCATTGAGATAAGAAAGCTATTAGAATTACATTAAAATGTACAGATGAAGAAACTTTGAAATACAACTATTGAGTACATTTCTACATACTATGGTTTTGGTTGTAGTTACAAAATATTTTTGTAAGTATAAAATATGAAACAATTATTAAACTTCATAACGAAATATTTATAGTTACAAAATTGAACTTCTTTATGTCAAAGGTTCATGTAACAATATAAGACGCAGGAGATATTTTAAGTGCACATGTAAAAAAATGTCAACGCAAAGGGTAGTAAAATTTTCATTTCACACTTAAAAATATTTAATTTTCCTTTAGTGACCGGTTCAAATATATTTATGCGCCATGGTTTACAATTGAAATAACTAATATATTTTTTACCAAAAAAAATGAAATACCTAATATTTTTTCTACTGACACTAGGTAAATGAAGCCCAATTCATATCAAACTTGTATGTTTTAGTTGGATCCATACCTTTCTTATTTCATTCATTTTCCCGATTTAGGCTTTATATTATAAGTCTTTTCAAAGTTATCAGATGATTTAGCGCAGAACAATATCATCTCAACTTCTAACTAAGCCTTTAGCTTCCTAAGCAGCTAAAAAAATAGATAATGATATTAAAGGTCACCTGTGTATCATTGTATAATCACATAAGTAGTTAATATGAGTAGACATAGGTCGTGTCGACCATAAAACAAATGAAACTGCAGGAGCTGATAATTCGACATCCATTCTTCTTTTTAATTGTTGATTATGTAGTGAACAAAAAAATATTTTTTTAAAACTCATATAATATACTTTTATGGTCATTAAAAGTAGTTGAGAGAAATGGAACAGAATAGAGAATAATGAAATAAAAAAGTAAAAAGGGACTATTTTGTTATTTTTATATATTTTAAGGATTATTTTTTAAATTTTTACAAACTACTGGGGTGTTTTTGTATTTAAATTTATTATTTTATCAAAAAACTAACGTAGATCCGTTAATTTGGACGGAAAATGGGCCGATTGGACGAAATTGGCAAACATTTCAAACATTAGGGTAAAGTTGGCTAACCGAAAATCTATTGGATATGATTGACGACGAGGGCAAAGTTTTAGGTAGGAACGACATATTTTTTCCAAGGACAAATTGAATTGCAACATTTACAACATATTTTTATGAGTCAAACGCTTACAACATTTATTGATATGAATAATTTGTTATTGTTTCATAGTTAATTAATACTCCATCTAGACCTAAAAAGATTAGCAGACATTGTTCTTTGCGAGTTCATAAAGATTACTTTAGTTACAAAGAGGAAAATGTGATTCGATTTTGTGTTGATATTAATTAATGAAGAAAAGGTTTTTTGAGCTATGAACACAACAAAAACTCGAGAGAGATGCAAACATTTGATTAAATGATCACTTAATTTTATACAACGAAAAATAGAAATGTCGCAAAATTTTTTGTGGAATTGACCTTATACATGACATATCGAAGCGTTGAAATCTCATTTTACACACTTCTAAAATAATTCTCAACAATGTATTTATGGCCGGTGCATTTTTATTCTAAATTCGTTATTGACGCTCAGGCAGCGGTTCGGGCTACGAACTAGTTAAATGTATATACGAAAATCCAAGGAAAAATATTTTACAGCAAACAGAAATTATTTCAACTTTTTGGAATATTAATTGTGGGAAGAGCATTCCTTTTGACAGTTGCGACGAGAAAAGTCATAATCACATGCTGGTTTTTAAGTTTCATCAATTTTTGTTTGGTATTGGTTTATATCATTTCAAATTTGATAAAGTTGATTAATAGCAACTATTGGAAAAAAAAAAAACCCCGAATTTAAGTTAAAAAACTTTTCATTTGAAAATTACAATTCAAAGTTTTCGCAGACGATGAAGAAAACATGATTGGTTTGATAATAGATGAAGTCAACTTCAATTTATAGAATTTAAGAAAATCAATTACGAGAATCAAACCATAAAAAGAGGTCGAAATGTTCATCGCCCTAATTAAAGTGTTGATCTCTACAGATCTTTTGAATTTTGACAAAGTTGTTGAAA